TTGTCCCAAAAATTTGGAAATGAGAATACGAGTGGAATTTATAGCTAAGGATAAGCTTTCCAAAGTCAGGAATCTGTCAAGGAGAAAGGTAGGCTTGGGTATCTTCCTAAAGAAGACTCAGTACCTCCCTCAAACCTACCCTTCCTTATTACTGAGTCAGGGGTTGTCAATGACATTACTTTGAGAACTAAGAAGACAAAATACCCAAATTCCTCTCCACCCCCTCCCCCTCATGAATCAGACTCCATGATACAGATCTAAAAACTAAAGTTAGTATAATGTCTGACATTTGTAAAGATATCAGTTTCATTAACTCCCACCTGTATCATCATATTGAATTACACTGCCCTGTGAAGTAGGCAGTGCAGATATTCCATTAAAAAAGAAAATTAGAGGCAAAGATCGAAGCTCAGAGAGATTACACAGTGTGCCCATCCTTCCACAGGCAGTATGTGGCAGAACCACAAACAGAATGCTGACCCTAAGTCAGCCAGAGGTTCCAGACCAAGTCCTGGCATTTCTAATTTTAATCCTTCTGTGCTAGGATACTGAATAAGACCTCGAGATAATGTTTCTTGGGCACTAGCCCAGCTGGAAATAACCTGTCTTCAACAGTAAGCAGCTTATAAAAATCTGCTTTCCAGGGTACCCCCTCACCCACCCAGGGAAAATCCTGAACAGCAGGTTCCCACCATTCTCCCTCCCAGGCATGCACAAATACAGACACTTAGCTGAAGGCAGACTTGATTTTCCAACTTGCAGTCACAGCTGCTTGGTTCAAGGTCCAAACATTATTGCTTTGCAGAAGCATTTGCAGAAGCCTGGCCCATCAGCAGTCCATTATCAACCTGCCCTTTCATAATTTATTGATTTACTATATATACTAGTATATGGGGGGGGGGGGGGGGCGCGGGTGGAAGGCAAGGAAGAGAGAGAAAAGGCTGAGTGGTAGAGACAAAGAACGTAATCCCGAATACAGGTAGAACGGTATCAGTGTCAGAGACAGAAATGACTACAGATTCCCTACTATAATGAAGGACACAGATGAACAGACCTAGAGTGAGAAACCTCTTTCCCAGGATCACACCACTGCAAACCTGGCAGAGGTGGGACCAGAACCCAGGTCTCCTGTTCTCCAGGCCAGGATCTGCAGCCACGTACAACTGGGGTTTATGTGTGTCCACCCGGTCACTCATTTATTGAGTGCCTACTACGTGCTCACAAGAGAAGCAACTTTAAAATGAGATGGCAACCTTAAGCTTAGAAACAATGGCATAAACATCACAAGCTAGGGTTTGCCTGGGATCTAAGCTGAGTTCTCTGGACATGGAAATTTTGAGTGCTAAAACTAGGAACGTTCTAGGCAAAGTGGGACAAGTAAGTCACTCTAAAGTAACGAGCTGTAAACTACACCTCCATGTCATCTGAGATTTTAAGATCTGTTAAAGCATTCCTGAGGTGAAGATGCATGGGGGGGGGGGGGGGGGCGGGAAGGGGTGCGGGGTTGTGATCTCCTGTTTCTCAAACAAAACTGAAGCAACTGGAGCTTATTGGTCTTCTCCACTGACTCCAAAATCACCTTTCTCTTTCCCTCCATTAACAGTTCTAGTCTATCTCTGGCTGGGTGCCTGGCTGGTTGGAGCATCATCCTGATACACAAGGATTCTGGGTTCAATCCCATCAGGGTATGTAGAAGCAAGCAATGAATGCATAAATAAGTGAAACAACAAACTGGTGTTTAAAAAAATCTTTTTTTGTCTGTGCAGGGGCATGAGGGGATTATTGGGGGTGATGGAAAGGCTCTATATCATGATTGTGAAAATGATTACACAATTGTCTCCATTAGTCAAAATTCACAACTGGTGAATTTTATTGTATATAAATTATACTTCAGCCCTGGCTGGTGTGGCTCAGTTGATTGGACACCATTCCATGCACCAAAAGGTTGCTGGTTCAATTCCAGGCACATACCGGGTTGCATGTTTGATCCCCAGAAGGAGGTATGCAGGAGGCAACTGATTGATGTTCAGCTCTCACAGCGATATTGCTCCGTCTCCCTTTCCCTTCCTCTCTCTCTAAACATCAATTAAAAATAATTGTTTTAAATTATACTTCAATAAAGCTGGCAAAAAAAGAAACTTCCAAAGTATTTAGTGCAGATTTCTGACAGAGTTTGGAAGCCACCAATCTGATTAAACTAATTCACATTTATTCATTCTCCCAGAGATACTCATTTTTGAAAAGATGTTATGCAATAAAAAGTTTTCAGATATGGTGAAGACATTTATTTGGTGGGCAAAGGATTTTCTTGACTCTCACAAATTATCTGGTGTCAATTAGTAACATTGACCAAGTACTTAGTATGTGCCAGGCAACAAGGTAAGTAAGTACTTTACATTCTTACTATTCGAAGTGAGGTCCACAGATCAGCAGCAGCTGAATCACTTGGGAGCTTATTAGAAATGCAGAATCTCAGGCCCCAATCGGGCTTACTGAGGCAGAAGTCTGCATTTAAACAAGCTCCCCAGATGTTCCCTGTGCATTTTTATTTATTTATTTTTTAAAAAAATATATATTTTATTGATTTTTTACAGAGAGGAAGGGAGAGAGATAGAGAGTTAGAAACATCAATGAGAGAGAAACATCGATCAGCTGCCTCCTGCACATCTCCCACTGGGGATGTGCCCGCAACCCAGGTACATGCCCTTGACCGGAATCGAACCTGGGACCCTTCAGTCCGCAGGCCGACGCTCTATCCACTGAGCCAAACCGGTTTCGGCCCCTGTGCATTTTTAAAGTGTGAGAAGAACTGGTTTAAACACCTTATCTTTTTTTCTCTCCTCCCTGAAACCCTATGATGTAGCATTCCTGGCAATTATGCTTTAACTTTTTATTAATAGCCATTAATGATCATCTATGATACTTTTTTTTTTTAATATATTTTATTGATTTTCCACAGAGAGGAAGGGAGAGAGATAGTTAGAAACATCAATGAGAGAGAAACATCGACCAGCTGCCTCCTGCACATCCCCCACTGGGGACGTGCCCACAACCCAGGCACATGCCCCCGACCGGAATCGAACCTGGGACCCCTCAGTCCGCAGGCCGACGCTCTATCCACTGAGCCACACCGGCCTCGGCTCTATGTCTCTTATTTACCTAGTATAGTTATAGAAGGCAAAGGAAAAAAGATGCCATTACTGTGCACTAATCTACATAAATTTACATAGTCTGCATCCTGTTTTCTTCCTTTCACCATCTTTGAAAAATGGACAATGGGTTTCCATGTAATCTAAATAACTAAGGAAAGAGGAGACAGGTACAGAATTAATGCAAATGCTATAACAGGTTCCAAGAGCAAAGAAAAAAGCCAAAACATAAAAAATAGAAGATTCAGATTCCTACTACAGAAGCTGGGCCTAGACGTAATTGGTTTTATTCCACACCCCTAATGCTCACTAGAGCCCTGCTCCCTCTCCCACCCTACACAAAGTTTTTGGCAGGCATTTCACAGTAGGATCCATGGGTCTGCCCCTCACCCCATTGGAAAATAAAACAAATACTTTATATCATTTTTTAAAATTTAAAGAACTAAAGCACAGAGAAGCTCCCTAGACCAGGAATAACCTATATATATTTTTTATATTAAAATATATTTTATTGATTTTTTTACAGAGAGAAAGAGAGAAGGATAGAGAGTTAGAAACATCGATGAGAGAGAAACATCAATCAGCTGCCTCCTGCACACCTCCTACTGGGGATGTGCCCGCAACCAAGGTACATGCCCCCGACCGGAATGGAACCTGGGACCCCTCAGTCCACAGGCCGACGTTCTATCCACTGAGCCAAACCAGTCAGGGCCCTATATATTGTTTTTTATGAGACAGCATAATAGTACAACCTGCTACTTCTGTAAGAATAGCCCTTAGAGATCTGGCATCTTGGGAAATCATTCAGCCCCGGGATGAAAACAGAGCAAGAGATACCCAAGATGGGCAGCAGTGGTTAAGAAAGAAAAGGGAAAATAGAGGACATGCAAATGATCGCATTAAAAAGATGAAACTGAGGAGCTACTTACTCATGAACTGAAAACAAGAGATCCAAACAAGAGAAGTGCATGTTCATTAAGAGAAACCACTATATAGTCTATAAAACTTTATTAAAATTGGAATTACTTACAAATTTGTACAATAAAAATGAAAAAATATATAATAAAACACTGACATTTTTTCTTACAGAAAAGAGTGAAAATGAGGCCCATGGCAAAGAGCCATCCCTGATCATTTTGTTCCTTTCAAACATTTATGAATATTTATTTTAAATACAAATGAAAAATATTTTTAAGTAACACTAAGGCATTACTCACAGGCTAAAACTTACCCAGTGATTCATTACCCTTGCTATTTCACCATCATGGGAAACTGAGGCAATTGCAGGCTGTAACAGTTCTAATACATTATGAATTATCTATTATGTTAACATAATAAAAATGTTGTCCATATACTAGTAAAGTTCAGAGAATGTGATTTCATCATTTTCAAGTTATTGTCAAGAGTGTGAGGAGGAAGATGACACACATGGGTTGGGGCAAGGAACCCAAAGCCCCATATTTTGGGAGGCTGTGTGCCACTCCCATCCTCACTAAAGCTGTGCGCTGACATTCACGTGAATTTGCATTGTTTATTCCCAGCAGGCTCTGGCTTCCATCACATAAGGCACTGAACACCCTTTTTGAAGGTAGTAACCATGTAGAATCCAACTCAACAGTAACTGAGTTCATAAGCTAAGTTAGCAAGAGACACCACCAGATTACAATTGCATAGGTTTCCCTAAAAAAGTAATTTCTGCTACATCAAAACAGACGCAAAAGGTTGGAAGTGCATTTACCTTGTAAAATGGCTATTTTTATGTGTATTACTTAGTTTCTGCTCCTGTGTAACATGAAGGCATAATAAATCTGTCAAACTGTCCTCTCCTTGGTTCAGATAAAATTCTTGGCATTTCAATATAGGTTATTATCTCATATGTCAGACCTGAGTCCAAAAAATACAAGGACATTTAATTTCCTTTCCTCCTACTTCAACGCTCACTCCTCAATTCAGAGAAAAGTTATGAGTACACAGCTAAGAACCATTTTTGCGCAAGCATCCATCTGAGCCCATCTTTTTTTTTCTTTTTTCTAGAACAAAAAAATTGAGGACAATTGCATAATCCAACCCCAAGCCTTTTATGGATATCAGGGCCTAGGGGACTATCTGGCCTATTTGGGTCCTTTTATTAATCAAATCTCTATCATATATGCTCAGTGGGGATTGGATTGAAGGGAACATAGTCAATGAAGAGAGGACTAGGGCCTAGAGTGGGATGTATTAGCACAAAATGAAGCATTGGAACTATAATGGAACTATTACCAGCAAAATATCCTTTGTACAAGACATAAATTCATGAATTTGGGGGGAGAAATAAACTAGTTTTGGCGAGATGAAGTGGCTGATAGAAATTTGTTGGGAGATATCAAAGCTGCTAAATTTTCCTTATTTTTGGTCATTGGTCTCATGAAAGTAATCTGAGTGGGAAAGTCAAGAGGAAATGTTTTAGGCCAGTCGGCTCTTATATTAATGAGAGACATGCTCTACACAACTTGGTCAGGCTGATGAGAGGCAATAGATTTTTGAATGCCGATGAATCCCTGGGCCCTAGGGCCAATTTGTAGCTTGATATTTGCAGAGCAAAATGCTGACATGGCAGCAGACGTGGTTCCAATGTCCAGCTCACTTCATAGTTATCCCTTCAATCCTTCTTGATGAGATCAGTCTGAGAAATGAGACTATACTGAAATTGCAAAAGCTGCAACTACCAGAGAAAATTAAATGGGGGCTTCAAGTAGTGACTGAGCCAGGACACTAAGTGGCCAGAGGGAGACAAGAGCAGCTTCTAAAGGTTTACTAAGTTCAGCAATCTCCAGGCACATGGGAGCCCTGAAGCATCTGGGGCAGAGCCACACAGGCAGGCAGGGCAAGGACACGCAGCACACCAGAGGCACCGTCCTTCACTGAGAGCAGTTCTCATGCTGCAGGACCCACTGTCATCTCCGCTGCCTACAGCTCAGTCTCCAACTACCAGACAGGAAGTAATAAGCGGAGTTTGATTTTACTCACCCTAAATTCAAACATAGTGAAAGTAACTGGTCTTGAGATGGAAACTTTATTTCACAAGTTTACTAAACATAAAGAGAGAGAAATCCTTCCCTAACTCACATTGCTTTCTCACTGAAATGAAGACATGAATCAGGAAAAGTCACCCTGGAGCAAGCCACCACCCTCCCTAAGTAGGTATGTGGAAGCAGGGGATCAACTGCTTGTACAGCCAAATTACTTCTTCCAATCAACTCAGGTTCGAATAGCCTAGGCCTCAATTTCTGTAAATGAGGTCAAAAATAGTACCTTCCCAAGGTCTTAACAGTTCTGTGTAGAGGGATAAAATTTTACCATGTACATAACTCACAAAGGCATTCAGGTTTCCCACTATAGAGCTCCTTTAGTCTACAACTTTAACCAACAGCATCTGCCCCCAAACTGCTTATTTTTCACTTTCTATTATGTCTATTTGCTGCCAACTGAGGTCCTTGTCACTTTAAGACAGTTTAATGCTATGGGAAACACTGCTGGAAATAATCAACTGGCCACCTGGAGAGGAGTCTCAGAACTGACATTTTGAAAGTCAGTAATGGAGCCCAGGGCCTTAGCTGCTAAATGGCTGGTCTGAAGGAGTCATGAAGACTTTTTAACAAATCATCTCTATGATCGTGGTCATCCAGGAAGTCTGTGCTATGCTCTGACCATCGGTGTCTATCTTCCTGGCTAGAGTAATTGTAGCTTTTTTCAAGGCATGAGGGTGAAGATCACAAAGACAAAACCAGCTAATGACAGAGACAGAAAAATTCACTCCCTCATAAATGCATTGCTGGCTTATAGGGGTACTTTCCAATGCAAAAGAATCTGAAACTAATGCCACTATAATAAAAGGATGCATGAACCTCTGGTCAGAAATGAAACGGCAAGTAAGTATAATTCATGGAAAAATGTGTCTGGCCCTGGCTGGGTAGCTCAGTTGGTTAGTGTGTCACCTGAATACACCAAGGCTATGGGTTCAATGGCACATACAAGAATCAATCAATGAATGCATAAATGAGTGTAACACGAATCGATGTTTCTCTCTTTCTAAAATCAATTTTTAAAAATGTATATATGACTCATCTTTAAAAAAATCTGATCCTGATGGCTGAAGGAGCATCCAGAGTCATGAAGATTAACTGAAGGTCTATTTTCTAGCAATGCAAACTATCGCAGCTACATAACTACATCTTGTATGTTGTATCAAGAAACTTCATAGTTTTAGGGCTTACAAAGTTAGCCAGAGCTCATGGGGGGAAAAATAGGTGGTAAGGAAAGACAGAAAGGAACAGGAAGAATGAGTAGACAAAAGAAGGAAAGAAAAAAGAGATAGTTTCCTAATTCCACAGCAACTCAAAGATATGTGACTCATTGACCCAAAAAAAATGGAGAACCTGTAAAAACCATTTAAATTCCCTAAATAAGATCGCTTCTCCTAAATAGCAGGAATAATGCTAAAAACCAAGGGGAAGAGAATATAAGAAATGAAAAAACTCTGAATTGTACATACTTCACAGGTATGGGAATAGACCCTTTGTAAAAGGGCAAAGGGAGCGAGGAGGAATGAGAAGGAAAAAAATGCAAATTTATTTTTAAGATGGAATTGAAAGCTGACTATAATAAAAAGCCCAACGGACCTCCCCTACAGAAGAGCCAATAGGCATGTTCCTAAAAGCAAGCAGGACTCAGAATATCATATGCATGAGAACCAATTCAAAGCTCAACACAACAGCTTCTGGGGCTTTAATGGATAATCCATATTAATAAATATGTAGGGGCCTACGAGGCTTGTCACACTGGAGCACTTGCTGGTTCTGGAACATGAATTTTAAGAAATTAAAATTACATATGTCCATTTAAAAAATAAGACAAATAAAAATTCATTTTCCTCTTTAAACAAGGATTATTCTAAAGTCGCTGGAATAAAAGTAGAAGTGAAACAGGCTTTCTCTCTGAAAAATATAACCCAGATAACAGTTCTCACTTCTGAGTGCCAGTCACAGTGGCAGAAATGCCATGACTGAATCAACTTCCGAAGGAGGAGCTAGAATGCTGTGCTCGCTGTGCTCATCCAGTCTCTTTGGAAACATAAAAGGTGAGCTGACTGCTTAACCAAGGGGAGCATTCACTACTTTACCCACTCTCATTCCCCAGGGATCCCACAGACACCACCAAGACCATTTCCAGAGGGAGGCCTACTCAGGCTTCTAATTTCAGTGGGAGAATTCCTGCACCATCTCGCTCTGTCTCAACAAGCTGAGAAGCATAATGCACAACATATGCGGCATGGACCCTATCACGGGACCAAGCCAGTCCACATAGAAATAACTGACTTCCGCCTAAGTCAAAAAGTTGTTCTGAATGACAGTGGGATACCAGGAATCTGTGTCCTCCTCCTCAGAGGATGTTTCTTCATAGATTTCATCCTGGGCAGTAATGCTCCCTAATCCATACTCCTGCTCATGGACAGAAACTTCATTTGGTGTGAGGTGAAAAGAACCTTCCACAAAGTCAGCAAATCTGGAAAAGAGAAGATAATAATCATTAGGCACCTTCTGCCCTTTCTATTTTTATTTCAAAATAAGAATAAATTTAAACCCTTCATCTACTCAAATTATACTGAGTCCAGACAGCATCTCTGTCCTTACTCTGGCAGTTAAGTAGACCAAAGCAAGAAACAAGGAGAAAAGGAAAGCTGGGGTCATAGGCCAACATCCCCTGCAACCTCATCCTGCTTAATAAGCACTAGCCTATCCTTTTTAGCTATGGAAGTGCCAAGGTTCCTTTAGTCACCTGTAATTCTGATAAGAGAGATTAAGGGTCATTACACATTCATTCATATTTATGGTCCTATAAAGTTTATGCCATCAGGATTCCAAACTGAAGATTCACATACTCACTGGTATAGCTGCCCCCAAATAAAAAGGAAAAAAAAAAAATCCCACCCCTCTACCCTGCAAGCAAACAAACAAACAAACAGAAAACACCACTCAAAGAGTAATGCAATACTATCAGAGGGGACACTTGATATGGTGTTGGAATCTTCTCACGTCTATGCTAGAGTAGACAGTTCTGCTTAACATATGATGATATACATATCTTTCTCTTGACTACTAGATGAATAGGAAAATAAAGCCATAAATACAAAATTATTACCTAGAAGTATGATCTTTTAAAACTCAAGGTCACAGTCACCGTGACAGATGCTTGGCATATCTGGCCAAAAGTTTACCTCTTTGGAGACTGGATTCGAGAAATAGTCTTCCAAGCAGAGCAGTCTGGACTGTTACAATATTCTCGAAGCTCCTCTAACGCCTTTTGAGTTTCCACCTCTCCTTGTATTCGATACTCTTCTTCTGTCAGGAGACGAGGGGGGACAATCTTTTCTGTTGCCTTACACATCTTTCTGTGCTCATCAAAATAACACCATGAATCATTAATCAGTAATCTGCATGCACCCTTACCTCTAGCTCCCTTCAGTGGGCCAGGCATGCAGCAGAGAGCCTGACCTTCTTGATTTCAGAGAGGAAGGGAGAGGGACAGAGTGATAGAAACATCAATGATGAGAGAGAATCATTGATTGGCTGCCTCCTGCACGCCCCACACTGGGGATTGGACCTGCAACCCGGGTATGTGCCCGGACCGGGAACTGAACTGTGACCATGCTGGCTGGGCCAGGTATCTTTAGTTATAATGTACTCTTGATATGTCAGACTATTAGTGACAAGTCAGAATAGTCCATTATTATTCACTAATGTGAGCAAATTCACTTATTTGCCAATAAATGATAGACAAAGTATTTATTTTCCAAAAACTGGGAAAATGACCAAAAATGATGGTGTAAAATTGTGGTCCATTAACTTTGTTCCCCAAACTGAAGATATCACCCTTGACTATCTGTAATAGAACCACCACCGACAATCTGAGATCATTCCATATTCACTATGCAAGGTGATAACACACTATGAATTACATCTTAAGACTAGGACTCCCATCCCTGGCCAGTGTGGCTCAGTTGGTTGGGCATTGTCTGGTTCACTGAAAGGTTGATGGTTCGATTCCTGGTCAGGGCACACGCCCAGCTTGTGGGCTCTATCCCCAGTAGGGGACATGCAGGAGGCAGCCGATCAACGTTTCTCTCTCTCCCTCTCCCTTCTTCTCTCTCTGCAGAGGGGGGGGAAATCAATTAAAAGAGAAAGACCAGGACTCCCAGCGCAATCTGAGAGCCAATGTGAAAGACTCTGAAACCATGTAACCTGAGGCATTTGATATAAAAGTAATATACTTTGCACCATCTAGTGGTAACATGAGCACATCACACTTTAGTGGATACTTTTATATAAAATAACTATAATAAAACTATAAAAATGCCTATAGTCTAAAGAAAGAGACTCAGGAAGGACAAAAATCAGAAGCAATAATACAATAAATTTTCATTAGCAAAGAGGCTCCCAGGTCAACACTTTTGTGTCCTTTTGCTGCAACTGTATCACACATTGTACATTTCAATAGTTACACTGCCTTTCAGTCACCTGTAGGTGATGTACAGCCACCGAATAGGATACTCCAGGTTCTTAGTACACAGAGCAATGATGATAATGGCAAAAGCAACCTGTGGTATCTGGATACCAGAATACATGAAACAGAGGCCCATCAGCTGCAAGGTCCAGGTCAGCAGGTTGATGCTTCGTTCATTCTCCAAGGGCCCATACTTGTAACAGACGGCAAAACTTATAAATCCAACTGTGAGGACATAACCTATGAGAAGAGTTAACAGAAGACATTAGTAAAATAATTTCTGTGGGGCAAAGCAGTAAGTGACTAGCACCGACTGAACTGGGAAAATGGACAAGATCATTACTCAATTATTCATATTTTTTCTATCATTCAGATACATTTATCTTTTTAAGCTTCCATCCTTCCTTTTATCCCTAATTTATTTGCATTAAGTTGAAGCATTGCTACACACTGACAATAGAATAGTCTGTTTAAAAACACAATATATGGCCTAGCCAGTTTGGCTCAGTGAGTAGAGTGTCGGCCCGATGACTGAAGGGTCCCAGGTTGATTCTGATCAAGGGCACACACTTCGGTTGCAGGCTGGATCCCTGGCCCTGGTCAGGGCATGTGGGGGAGGCAACCAATCCATGTGTCTCTCTCACATCGATGTTTCTCTCTCTATTTCTCCCCCTCCCACTCTCCCCCTTCTACTCTCTCTAAACGTCAATGGAAAAATATCCTCGGGCCCTAGCTGGTTTGGCTCAATGGATAGAGCATCGGCCTGCAGACTGAAGGGTTCCAGGTTCGAATCGGGTCAAGGGCACATACCAGGGTTGCGGGCTCAATCCCCAGTGGGGGTCGTGCAGGAGGCAGCCAATCAATGATTCTCTCTTATCACTGATGTTTCTATCTCTCTCTCCCTCTCTGAAATCAATGAAAAAAATATTAAATAAAAGAAAAAGAAAAAGATCCTCGGGTGAGGATTAACAACAAACCACTCAATATATGGAAATCCAGATTAATCACCTCTCAAAGGGTAGATTAAGAGTTACTATCTGTATAAAAAAAGGGTTCCTGCTTTACAGATTAGATTCAATGAAGAGTTATTTTTTCAAGTCCTCAAGTATATTAGAAATACAATTATGTTGACAAACAATCCAATTAAAAAATGGACAAAGGACCTAAATAGACACTTCTCCGAAGAGGACATACAGATGGCCAATAGACATATGAAAACATGCTCAATATCACTAATGATCAGAGAGATGCAAATTAAAACTACAGTAAGGTATCACCTCACACCTGCCAGAATAGCTACCATCATTAAATCAACAAACAAGTGCTGGTGAGGATATGGAGAAAAGGGAACCCTGGTTTACTGCTGGTGGGAATGCAGACTGGTTGCAGTCACTATGGAAAACAGTATGGAATTTCTTCAAAAAATTAAAAATGGAACTCCCATTTGACCCAATGATCCCACTTCTAGGAATATATCCTAAGAATCCCAAAACACCAATCAGGAAGAATCTATGCACCCCTAGATATTGTAAATAGTGCTGTTTACAATAGTTAAGATCTGGAAACAGCCCAAATGCCCATCAGTTGATGAATGGATAAAAAAGCTATAGTGCATTTACACAATGGAATCCTATGTATTCATCTGTAAAACAGAAGGATCTCTTACCCTTTGTGACAGTATGGAGGGACCTGAAGAATATTATGCTAAGCGAAATAAGCCAGTCAGACAAAGCACATAGCACATGATCCCACTTAAATGTGGAATCTAAAGAACAAAATAAACTGACAAACAAAATAGGTCCAGAGGCATGGATGCCTGGAACAGACTGACAGATCTCAGAGAGCAGGGGGGTTGGAGGGACAGGAAGAAATTAACTAAAGAACTTATATGAATATATACATAGCCCATGGACACAGACAATAGTGTGGTGAAGGCCTGGGATGGGGCAGAGGCTGGGTGGAGGGCGGCAAAGGGAGGGAAAATGAGGGACATCTGTAATACTGTCAACAATAACAATAAATAAAACAAATACAATTGTATTAATAAAGTCAATTTACAGTTTTTCAGAAAGATGCCTATCATATAAAGAAAGGTATACTTATCTACAACACAAATTAAAGTCTTCTTCCAGGCAGCATCATTTTAATTTAAGAGAAGGTAACAACTGTAAGAGGGATTAGAAATAAGTGAAGAACTACGATTCTTAAAAGTTAATAAAATGGCACGGACTATTAAACTCCTAAAAGTTAATTTCATGACCAAATTAACTAAAATAGTTTATAAATATATAAAAAGGAAAACAAAACCAGTAACACTTACTTAAAAGATACTGCCAGTAGCACCTCCAGATCTCTTGTAAATTTTTAAAAACTAGTTGAATGAGGTATAGCGAAAAGGACCAGCCTCCCACCAGGATGATGTAAATGGGACTTTTCTAAAACAGAGTAGAAGTGAAAGCAAAAAGTTACAAAAGGTTTCCATACATAAAAGCAAAATGAAACTATGTTTAAAAAAACCTCAAACTACTGAAAAACACATCTCTGACAAAGATTTTCTATTTAAAGTGGTACAGTCTGCTAAGGACACTGGGAAAATGAGATGCTAAATAACTTAAAAGCCTGACTATGTAATTAGCAAATAGGAAGGAGACTTTAATCCCCCACTAAGCATGGAATTTTAAATAAAAAGGGAGTTCATATGTAATCAGGCTCCAAGATTCATCATGGTAAGTACCTTTCTGAATCAAGGAAGGAGTAGGACATTGGCTTAGATATCAATGCAAATTTCAGTGCTGCTAAATTACCTAAGAAAACTACCCTCCAACTATCCAGGCTCATCTTAACCACATGAGTATTCTGCTACTTACCCTGGGTATAAACTTGGACAGCATGAAAATGATGATTAGCAGAGACGCCACAATTCCCACACCCATCCCAGTGGAATAGTAGAAGATCTGGCTTCTGCAAAGAGAAAATGTATTTCATGACTATGTGTGTATTCTTCATACATGGCATTGTTCCAACTAGGACAACTATCCTAGTCAAAAGATAGAAAACAGATACAAGATTAGAACAGGTATTTGCCCAAAACTTGAAGTCAGAAAACTGAAGAAACTATAACAATATAGTTGCTCCCAGATTATGAGGATTAGTATCAATGAGGTCCCCTCAAGTATATCCCCAAAATAAACCTCTATTTAGTCTCCTACTTTGATCCCCAGCATCTCTCCCAATCCAGTCCTATATAATAAAAGTGTAATATGCAAATCGACCAAAGGGCAGAACGACTGGTCGCTATGATGCACACTGACCACCAGGAGGCAGACGCTCAACCCAGGAGCTGCTCCCTGGTGGCCAATGCGCTCCCACAGGGGGAGCACTGCTTAGCCAGATGGCTGGCTAGCCCAGCAACAGTGGTGAGAGCCTCTCCTGTCTCTGCTGCAGGCGGGCAGTAAGGAGCGAGGGGTCCCGGACTGTGAGAGGGATGTGTGCCTGCCAGCTTAGGGGGTTTAGGGATCAGGCCTAAGCTGGCAGGCAGACATCCCCCGAGGGGTCCCGGACTATGCAGGCCAGGCTGAGGCACCCTGCCCCCCAATGCATGAATCTCGTACACCGGGCCTCTAGTTTTTAATAAGAATCTTTCTTTTGAGGAACCGTACACCATCTCTGGGAGAAGGAAGGGACAATACTGCACTTGTGGAGACTGGAACAGAACTGATTACCTAGAAGGATAAACCAAACACAGGGCCTAGAACAGAGAGCTCCTACTCCTATTCCAGGCTCTTTCTATCAGTTATTCCTCCCTCACTGAGTTTCTCTTAGAATCCCTCCAAAAAAGGAACAACTTCCACCAACCTCACTCCAGCCCAACTTCAAACTCCAATTGTTAATCTGTCATTCACTACTCCACAAATACTCTTTTCACTTGTATACATAGTTAATGTTGGTTCTATCTTTGTTCAATGTTTGCTCTTTTCTCTATTTCTTTTCTTTGTATTTGGACATGTGACCTAGCTTGGCTGGTAAGTTCCTAAAGGCAGGAAATGAATAAGTAGTTAATGTTTGTCTCTTTACTTCTGAATGGCATGAAGCTTATCAACACATACATAGCCCAGTAAAAATAAGGGCTTAACACATTCTTTCCAATGGTGGAGTGGTTGACTCATCACAAGATAGGTCAAACTAATGGGAAGACTTCACTATTGCCAGTCTTATGTAATACAAGGAAAAAACAAAAATCATTACACATATATTAAAGTACTTTTAAAAATTATCCAAGCAGATAATGGCCTAGCCATAAAGGTCCTGGAAAAGGAAATGGCAGCACTTGGAGTTTTTACAATAAAAGTCAAGGACAGATCTGAGTCTCGTCATTCCACACTCTAGCCTTGGAACTTACCTGCTCAACAAGTCTCCACAAAAAAATAACGTAAGTCCAAGAAGGAAAACGAGAAAGAGTTTGGGGTCAAATCCTGAAATAAACAGAGACTTCTGTTTAATAGGAGAAACAAACAGTTTAAGGCATTATAGTAGTCCCTCCTCATCTGCTGGGGGATGCGTTCCAAGACCCTCAATGGAATCCTGAAACCATGGATGGTACTGAAGCATATATGTAATGTACTGTATTTTCTTATACAAAAACAGCTATGATAAAGTTTAATTTATAAAATAAGCAACGTAAGAGATTAACAACAACTAACAATTAGATTATAACAATATACTGTAATAAAAGTTATGTGAATGTGGCCATTCATTTCAGGGTTCCCTGCTTGAAGTCTTAGTATAGGTCCAATGTTTTCTGGTGCAACACACAGCCATCAATTGGAACACGTTTTCTGTCCAGGTCTTCCACCCATAAATTTAATGCCTTTTTCATCTTAACAAAGCACTTATCATGCACTGTGGCTGTAACTTTTGCAGTTTGACTTGTGACAGCAAAACTAGCGTGGATTTCTTTTCCTTCTTCACAATTTCATGGATAGAAGATTCATTCTTACTGTTTATCTTAGCAACCTCAGCATACTTATTAAGTCAATAACTTTCACCTTTTCACTTAAAGGACGCACTTCACAGCTTCTCTTCGGTATATCCAAATTACTAGCATCACTACTCCTGTGCTTTGGGGCCATTATTAAATAAACTAAGGGTTACTCAAACACAACCATTGCAATATGGGGATAGTCAATCGTGACAGTCAATCTGATAACCCAGATGGCTACTAAGTGGCCAACAGGAGGGCAGGGTATACAGCGTGGGTGCACTGGACAAAGGGACAATTCATATCCAGATGGCATAGTACAAGATTTTATCCCGCTACCCAGAACAGCACACAATTTAGGTAACTGAAACCACAGAAAGTGAAACCATGGATAAGAGGGAGTTATTGGGTGGAATAAAAGGCAACGCTGGCATTATTGGTCAGCCAATAAAATAAATACAAAGAGTCCACCTAAATAGCATTATAAATTCCACACAAAGCTGGGACACCCTTCCAAAGAGAAAGGGTAATTAGGTCTCTGTCTAACCTCTACTTTCCTGAAGATCTTATTTTTATTTTGGCTGCCTACACCAAGGCTAAAAGAAACCAAGCGTTGCTTTGGATAGAGCCAGGCATAGTGGCATCAGCACTTCATGCAATTGCCCACAAGAGGTCTCCACCACTCTGGTTTTCAAGCCTTAAGTCACTCAGGCTGGGACTTAACAGATTTGCCTAGCCCTAGAACTTTGGATAAGGGCCTTCTGTTGTTCTCTAACTGGCTGTTCTTCTGGCTCAACACCACCATTTACTTCCCTTCGCTATACAACAACTGTGTTGGAAAAACCTACACTCAAACACAGTTCACTCAGGAACAGGGGGCCCAAGCAGAGGCCCCTTAGGGGCATGCAAGACCCTCCCACACCTTCACATTCAAGAGCTGAGTTTAGGGGAGGTCCACAAACGGAATAGGATAAAAAAAAGATCAGTAAATGTAAAAGAAATACAAAAACCAACCAACCAACAAAGCAAGAACAACAACAAAAAACACAACAGGCCAATCCAAAGAACTGTGAAACCCTGGGGCAATTAGAAGGCACAAACTATTTTGTAGCAAAACCCAAGAATCTTTCCACTACTCACAATCCAGGACCCTGGGTGGTAACCAGGGAGAGACCAAAAGTCACAGAGAATTCAACAGGATAATGATCCACCTCCTATGTGAAACTTTCTCAGACATTCAGAGAAGGGAGGGCTTCTCCCAGTTCCACTGAGTAAGCCTTAAATTGCAGTGATCTTCATATTTATCATTCCACAAATACTTTTTACTTATGAAGTACTAATATTCAGTTCTGAAGAAAGGCAGAACTGAAATCAATATATATATTGATTGGAAGGGAGAGGGGGAGAGAGAGAGAAACATCAATGATGAGACAGAATCCTTAATCGGCTGCCTCCTGCACACACCCTACTGGGGATCGAACCTGCAACCCGGGCATGTGCCCTTGACTGGAATCGAACCCGGGACTCTTTAGTCCACAGGCCGATGCTCTATCCCAGTGATGGCAAACCTATGACACGAGTGTCAGAGATCACACGCGAACTCATTTTTTTGGTTGATTTTTCTTTATTAAATGGCATTTAAATATATAAAATATCAAAAATATAAATCTTTGTTTTACTATGGTTGCAAATATCAAAAAATTTCTATATGTGACACTGCACCAGAGTTAAGTTAGGGTTTTTCAAAATGCTGACAAGCCGAGCTCAAAAGGTTCGCCATCACTGCTCTATCCACTCAGCCAAACTGGCTAGGGGTCTTCAGTTTTTATTATTTAACCGTTCGTGTCTTCAAATGTAGACCTGTACATTTCGGGACATCTACCTTTGTCTAGAAGTGCCCAGAAGGCAGAAATACATCTTTTATACTCTGAGAAATACTAGGAATATCAGGTCAGAGCCATTGGAAGAATTAAGAATGTGCATCTTCACAATTCTAGGTAAGGAGGTACTTACAATGATCTAATGTGAAGTCTCAATTCTAGGGCTTTATGTGGGGTGGAGTTTCTCTAAACTGTTTGGAGCAGTAGTGAACTCAGGTTATAATCAGAACCAAAATGGAATTATCTTGGGCTGACTTCTCTTTCTCACTAATTATACCCTCCAAAGTTCAGTCCCTTCTCACTATAGAATTCATCATAAAAACACAGGTAAGACTTACTGCGGGTCACAGTGACACTGTACTTGGTGTCTTCCTCTATAATCTCAACTTTGAGGCAGGTTTTTGTACTGTACAGTCCCACATTAACATAGGTGTCATTCAATTTCTCTTTTAAAAAGGAGGAAAAAAAGTTCCAGATACTAAACTGCTCTAGCTCCTTCAGTTTCTCCTCATTCTCCACCTGGGTGACTCGTACCAGTTTGGAACTATTTACCTGAATCTGTAACACAAAATAGGAATGAATTTTTCACAAATAAAAATTTTAAATTAACACAAAACTGTAAAGTAAATATCTAAATCAGAAATGGCACTAGTTTTCCACAAGGCTTATGAGAAATATAGAGATGCAGTGGCTAAAACATAATTGGACAAATATCATTGCACATGGTATAGAGAGGCAGCTGTTAGAATGTCTTGTTGTTAACATGATCTGAATCTACTATTAGGCCTGAACATAGGGAGGAAAAAGACTTCCACAATACAGCTATTTATAAGAGATCATACAAAGCCAGGGTCTATAATATTAAGAAAATTGCCAAGCATAAACAGCCCCAAAAAGGTTTCCCATAATGAAAGGCTGAGAAATTCAACCCTTTGTCACAAATCACTGATTATGGGTACATGTTGGTTATAATTTGCCCCAGATGGAATATGATTTTTATATCAGAAAATAAAAAAAAGAGAATTAAAAAAAGAAACCCACAAGCCCACCCTGATGTTTCTGATGTGAACAACAAATGCCCTTATTAGTAACTATGCTTATGAAAGTAGCACCATTTTCAAAAGGACTCATTTTGTTCAATCACTATTACAGCCAGACACTCTTGCCTTGCCAGGTGGTTTAATGGCGTTATGAAATAAATGAGACCAAAGTCACTCATTCTATCAAGGGGAAACTTCAGTTCAGGAGGCTTATGAAACATCCTGTGTAGAATAAAAATAAGAGCAGCAAGGCAAAAGAGTTTATTTACATCCTGACAAACACACGACAGTTTCCAGGCCAAAGAAGGCAGAAGGCCTTTAAAAAGAAAAGGTGTGTGTGTGTGTGTATAAAAAGAAAAGGGCAAGAGAAGAAAGAAGTTTCTTTGGGAAAAGGAGGAAGTTTACCTCAGGGTCAAGCATTATAAGCTACTTAAATGAGCAGAGAGCAGAACATTTAGGAAAAAATGCTTATTGATGAAAACACAATTCAGGATAATCTCAACCCTGTCAAGGTTGTTAATAATACTTTATAAAAACTTGTGTGTGTTCCTAGTTGGTTTGGCTCAGTGGATAGAGCCTCAACCTGTGGACTGAAGGGTCCTCAGTTGGATTCCAGTCAAGGGCATATGCCCGGATTGCAGGCTTGATCCTCAGAAGGGGGTGTGCAGGAGGCAGCTGATCAATGATTCTCTCTCGTCATTGATGTTTCTATCTCTCTCTCCCTCTCCCTTCCTCTCTGAAATCAATAAAAATATATTTTAAAAAATTAAATAAAAATTGTGTGCTACAGATAGAGTGTCAAAGAACTCACTAATACAGACAAACATTCACAAAAGCTGCCCCTGCCAGGGGCCTCCAAATTATTACCTGTATCCGTGTCCATATATCATGCCACTTTGGGATAAGCACATTTTCATAACAGAATTGTTGCCTGGCAGTCATAGTATAAACTCGAGATTCCTGAAGCATGCCCACATTAATTTCAACTTTATGCAAAGAAAGAAAATAAGAATTAAATGTAACAGAACAAGTTAATAACTATTAACTCATTTCATAAAGATTTAAACTGACCACTTTCTTAAAGTTGAGGTTAAAATGTCAGTGACTGAAAAACAAGATAACTGAAATATGAGTAGAAATAAGATAGTCTTATTTCTGTCTAATTTTATTTAGATATTACAAATAGTCATTAACCCAGAATAAGTAATAAGGAAAGCTACTATTTAGTGTTAAGACAGTATGCAATCTCATTTAACCCTCCAGTCAAGGGCACGTGCCTGGGTTGCGGGCTCAACCCCCAGGAGGCAGCCAATCAATGATTCTTTCTCATCATGGATGTTTCTCTCTCTCTCTCCCTCTCTGAAACCAATAAAAATATATATATTTTAAAAATCAGTGGGGGGGGGGGGGGGGGAGGAGGATATCCTCGGATGAGGGTTAACAACAAAAAAAAGACGAATTTTCCCAAAGTCAAATTAGCTTAATTGAGATTCACACCCAGGTCCTGTATCCGTTAAAAAGGCAAAGCCAAAGTAACCTCATCTCGTGTTTTTTCTCTATCTCTTTCTCAGGTAGGATGAACAGAATTGACAATGATTATCTATAATAATAAAAGCATAATATGCTAATTAGACTGGACAGCTGAACGACCTTCTGGAAGTCCTTCTGGACGAAGCCGCAGTGCTGGGGGCCAAGGCAGAGGCAGTTAGGTGAGATGAGGCAGGCAGGCAAGCAGTTAGGGTGATCGGGGAAGCAGGCAGAGTGGTTAGGGGTGATCAGGCAGGCAGGCAGAGGCCAGCGGTTAGGAGCCAGAAGTCCCAGATTGCAAGAGGGGCATTTCCTGAGGAGTCCCAGATTGCGAGAAGGTGCAGGCTGGGCTGAAGGATCCCCTCTCCGTGTATGAATTTCACTGGTGGGGTTCCTCAGCCTGGCCTGCACCCTCTTGCAATCCGGGAACCCTCAGGGGATGTCGGACTGCCAGTTTGGCCTGGCCTGTGAGGATTAGGCCAAAACCAGCAGTCTGACATCCCTTGAGGGATGTAGTAGTGCATTAAGCGGCATGTTGGGCACTGCACCAATCCCGTTCATCCCAGTCCTGCTGCACCAGGCGGCTCAGTAGCACTGCCATGGAGGCCAGAGGCAGGGCCAGCCATGAGCCCTGCGTCTGGCACCTGTCAGCTGAGCAGCGCTCCTGCTGTGGGAATGCACTGACCACCAGGGGGCAGCTCCTGCATTGAGCATCTGCTCCCTGGTGGTCAGTGCACGTCATAGCAACCGGTTACTTGGGGTTTTATATATATTAATAGAGGTCCGGTGCACAAAAATTTGTGCACTGGCGGGGGGGGGGAGGGTGTCCCTCAGCCCCACTTGTGCCCTCTCGCAGTCTGGGACCCCTCGGGAGATAACGACCTGCTGGCTTAGGGCCGCTCCCGGGTGGCAGAGGGCAGGCCCAATCCCCAGGTGCAGCCCCTGGTCGGGCTCAGAGCAGGGCCGATTGGGGAGTTGGGGCGCCAGCCCCTGTCATGCACAGAGCAGGGTGGATCAGAAGGTTGCGATGCCACCCCTAGTCACGCTCAGGGTAGGGCTGATTGGGGGGTTGGGGCACCGCCCACTGTCACACTCAAGGCAGGGTCGATGGGGAGATTGCGGCGCCACCCCGTCACGCACAGAGCAGGGCTGATCAGGGGGCTTGGGGCGCTGCCCCCTGTCACGCACAGAGCAGGGCCCATCAGGGGGTTGGGGAGCTACCCCGTCACGCAAAGAGTAGGGCCAATAGGGGAGTTGGGGCGCCGCCCCCTGTCACCCACAGAGCAGGGCCGATCAGGGGGTTGGGGCACTCCCCCCTGTCACACTCAGGGCAGGGCCGATGGGGAGGTTGCAGCTCCACCCCATCACACACAGAGCAGGGCCCATGGGGAGGTTGGGGCGCTGCATCCTGTCATACACAGAGCAGGGCCGATCAGGGGGTTGGGGAGCTCCCCCTTATCAGGTACAGAGCAGGGCTGATCAGGGGGTTGGGGCGCCTTCCCCTGTCACGAACAGAGCAGGGCAGATAGGGAGGTTATGGCCCCGCCCCCTGTAACACACAGAGCCGCAGGGCAATCAGGGGGTTTGGGCGCTGCCCCTTGTCACGCTGCTCCAGGGGCCAGGAGGCCTCGCGGTTCCGCTGATCCCAGTGCTGGGAGGCCTCTTGGCTCCGCTTGACACAGGGGCAGTGAGGCCTCGCAGCTCCACTGATCCCGGGTTCGGGAGGCCTCGCGGCTCCGCTGATCCCAGTGCTGGGAGGCATATTACCCTTTTACTATATAGGATAGAGGCCTGGTGCACGGGTGGGGGCCAGCGGGTTTGCCCTGAAGGGTGCCCTGGATCAGTGTGGGGGTCCCGCTTGGGTGCCTGGCCAGCCTCAGTGAGGGGCTGATGGCTGTTTGCAGCTGGTCACACCTCCTTCAGGGTGGGGGTCCCCACTAGGGTGCCTGGCCAGTCTGGGTGAGGGGCTGAGGGCCGTTTTCAGGCTGGCAGGAAACTGTAGCTCCCAACCTCTCCTTTTTTTCTTTTATTCTGGGATTTATTTACCTTCTATGGCTGTCACTGGAGCTGAGAGCAGGCTTTAGCTCTGAGGCTGGCTCCAGCTTGAGGCCTCGGCTGCTGAAAGCAGGAATCTAGGGTTTGTTTGGGTTTTATAATTGCAACATTGTTTCGGTCCTGCTTGCTCCAGCTCTGATGGCTGAAAGCAGGTATCTGGGTTTTGTTTAGCTTCTTTAATTGCAACATAGTTGCTTAGAGTGCAGCTCAGAGTCCGGCTAGGCAGGCAGGGAACCTTGCCATTTTGGTTGGCAGTTAATTTGCATATCGCCCTGATTAGCCAATGGGAAGCGTGTCAGAGGTACGGTTAATTACCATGTTTGTCTATTATTAGATAGGATTAGAGGCCTGGTGCCCCAAAATTTGTGCACTCGGGGGGGGGGGGGACCCTCAGCCCGGCCTGTGCCCTCTCGCAGTCTGGGACCCCTTGGGGGATGACCACTTGCTGGCTTAGGCCTGCTCCCCGGGGAATTGGGCCTAAGATGGCAATCAGACATCCCTCTGGCAGCCCGGCAGCCCTCAGGGGATGTCCACTTGCCAGCAGGGAGCAGACCTAAGCTGCGGTCAGACATCCTTAGCACTGCTGAGGAGGCAGGAGAGGCTCCCACCACCACCACTGTACTGGCAGCCATCAGCCTGGCTCGTGGCTGAGCAGAGCTTCCCCATGTGGGAGCGCACTGACCACCAGAGGGCAGCTCCTGCATTGAGCATCTGCCCCCTGGTGGTCATTGTGTGTCATAGTGACCAGTCATTCCCTTTCTGCTGTTAGGGTCAGTTTGCATATTACCCTGCTACTATATAGGATAGAGGCCTGGTGCATGGGTGGGGGCCAGCTGGTTTGCCTTGAAGGGTGTCCCAGATCAGGGTGGGGGTCCCACTGGGGTGCCTGGCAGCTGATGGCTGTTTGCAGCTGGTCACACCCCCTTTAGGGGTGCCTGGCCAGTCTGGGTGAGGGGCTGAGGGCCGTTTTCAGGCTGGCGGGCGACTGAAGCTCCCAGCCTCTCCTTTTTTTCTCTTTCTTTTTTTATTCTGGGATTTATTTACCTTCTATAATTGAAGTATTGTTGCCGTCACTGGCGCTCCCAGCTCTGAGGCCGTGGCCAGCTGAAATCAGGTATCTGGGGTTGTTTAGCTTCTATAATTGAAACATTGTTGCCTTCCTGCTCGCTCCAGCTCTGAGGCCATGGCCTGCTGAAAGCAGGTATCTGGGGTTTGTTTAGCTTCTATAATTGAAACTCTGTTGCTTTCGGGCTCAGAGCCAGGCCACGGCAGGCAGGGAACTTTGGCTTCCTCCATCACTGGAGCAAGCAAACCTCATGTTCGCTTCAGCTGCGTGGCTGCTGGCCACCATCTTTGTTGGCAGTTAATTTGCATATCGCCCTGATTAGCCAATGGGAAGCGTAGCGGAGGTACGGTTAATTACCCTTTTTGTCTTTTATTAGATAGGTCTAGAGGCCCGGTGCCCAAAAATTTGTGCACTCGGGGAGGAGGTCCCTCAGCCCGGCCTGTGCCCCCTTGCAGTCTGGGACCCCACGGGGGATGACCACCTGCTGGCTTAGGCCCAGTCCCTGGGGGATTGGGCCTTAGCTAGGAGTCAGACATCCCTCTGGCAGCCCAAGAGCCCTCGGGGGATGTTCATTTGCCAGCAGGGAGCAGGCCTAAGCTGCAGTCAGACATCCTTAGCGCTGCTGAGGAGGTGGGAAAGGCTCCCGCCACCACCGCTGTACTGGCAGCTGTCAGCCTGGCTTGTGGCTGAGCAGAGCTCCCCATGTGGGAGCGCACTGACCACCAGGGGGCATCTCCTGCATTGAGCATCTGCCCCCTGGTGGTCAGTGTGTGTCATAGTGACCAGTCATTCCCAGTCGCTCTGCTGTTAGGGTCAATTTGCACATTACCCTTTTATTATATAGGACTGCCTGGCCAGCCTGGGTGAGGGACTGATGGCTGTTTGCAGGCTGGCCACAGCACCTTCAGTGTGGGGGTCCCCACTGGAGTGCCTGGCCAGCCTGGGTAAATGGCTGAAGGAAGTTTGCAGGCTGGCCAAGCCCCACAGTAGGGACCCTCACCCCATGAGGGTGTGGCCAGCCTGGGTGAGTGGCTAATGGCTGCTTGCAGGCTGGCCACAGCCCCTTCAGGGTGGCGGGTCCTGCTGGGGTGCCTGGCCAGTCTGGGTGAGGGGCTGAGGGCCGTTTTCAGGCTGACTAAGCCCCCCAGTGGGGACCTTCACCCCGTGAGGTTGTGGCCATCCTGGGTGAGGGGCTGATGGCTGTTTGCAGGCTGGCCACGGCCCCAGCCACCCAAGCTCCCAGTGGAGGTTGGCTGGAAGCAGGTATCTGGGATTTATTTGTCTTCTATAAAAACTTTGTTGCCATGAGCGGAGGCCACAGCCAGCTCAGGGCAGGCGGGCGGGCAACCAAGCCTCTTGCTTGCT